TAATAATCCATCTTTATAAATTTTTGCCTGGCATCATTATATCAAATAAACATTTAGTTCAGATTTTTTTAAAGTAGCATCAATTTAGGTTATGATTTTATTGGCAAAATTAGAAAAAGTCAGGCAGCTCCCCTTAAACAATAAACTATTGAGTAACATTAACAGTTGGAGGATTAGACCCAGAAGTGTAAATCACACGGACTGGACTGATTGTGTTATTGTGTTCCTCGGCCCTCCTTTACTATTTGTGCTTTCTCCTAAACATCTGAAGTCTTTCTTTTTGTATAAAAAAGTGCATTGTTCACATGTGTAAACCACTGGAAACCCCTTAACTCTCCATCTGCTGATTTCACAAGGTTTTTTATGTAGCCAACACACATAGTCTGAGAGTAAGGATGTGATTTTTCAAGGACATGAAATGCAATTTGGAGTCAACAGACAGCAAAATCTGGCAGACAGGTACCTAACTCTGGTATAGTTTTGCAAACCTTTTCCTTAAGGCTCAGCCATATGTTATAGATCTTAGAAAAGCGAATAATGAAAAACAGCCTTACACCAGTATTCCTTTTTTATCCCACTAAATTAACTTTAAGAGTATTCTTAAAAGAAACTAATCCTTTCCTAAAAACTATTTGATTAATCCTCTTCTAGTCTTCAGGCATAAAACTGAAATAAGGTCAACCACCTTAACACATTGGCACTTGAATCTCTGCTATCTTATGCAGGAAGTAAAACTAGAACAATCAGAAACATAAAATCTGGTAAATCCGGTGCATCAACTGTGCACCAGCTTTGACTCCAGCAGAAAGAAATAACCTTGCTTTTTTATCACCACATCACACACATGCAGAGAAAACTCGGCAGGAATGTAAAGCAAATGAACTAATGAACTTAATTAACACACAGAAAATAAAAGAACTACCCTGCAGATGTGTATTTGTAGTGAAATCAGTCAGCAAATGAACAAGTAGTCATGACAAAATTTTATGTGACTTCCTCCTGTCACTGGGGTCAGAAGTACAAAAACTGGGTAGGAACTAAGTTATTACAAACCTTTCTTCTAAAATTAATGGTGTTTTTTGTTTGTTTGTGAGAAACAAAGCACAGGTTATTATTGCTGCTGCATTGAGGAAAGCCCAGCACCAGCCCCACTGTGAGCAGCCCCTCCTGAGATCATGGGAGCCCAAAAGAGCCCAGCCCTGCCAGGGGGATGCTGCCCTGGCTCAGTGCAGGTTTGTGTGCACAGAGCTCAGTTCAGGTGACACAGGTGTCCCAGTGAGCCAAGGGCTCAGCAGCCACCCCAGCCCTGTGGCTGAAGGTGACACAGGTGTCACAGAGTGAGCCAAGGGCTCGGCAGCCACCCCAGCCCTGTGGCTGAAGGTGACACAGGTGTCACAGTGAGCCAAGGGCTCAGCAGCCACCCCAGCGCCGTGGCTGAAGGTGACACAGGTGTCACAGTGAGCCAAGGGCTCTGCAGCCACCCCAGCCCCTGGCTGAAGGTGACACAGGTGTCACAGAGTGAGCCAAGGGCTCGGCAGCCACCCCAGCCCTGTGGCTGCAGGCTCAGGGTGCCGCACCACCCACAGCAGCAGCTGCTGTCACCTTGGTACATCCTCACCTGTAAAAGGCCAGCTTGCAGAGGTTTGGTGAAGTGAGGTTTAGAGGCTCTCTCCTCTCACCAATGTGCTTGTATCAGCTGCACATGCAACAAATTCTTAGGTACATGGCAGCTCCAGGGAAGAGTTTTCCACTTCAGAGCCTCTTCCAGGGGTCTGCACAGCAAACCCCCCCAGTATTTCTGTGAACCATAACAAGGCAGTTCACAGCTTAGGAAACACCCCCAAGCACAGAGGTGGTGAAAGATCAAGAGGCCAAATTTCAGTTACCAATAATTATAAATAATTTGAATTTCTTTTATTTAATAGATCATCTCCTAGCAGAAGATGATACCCTCTTCATTATCTTTCTCCAAATTCTTTTCTCTGGCAAACAGCTAAGCCAAGGAAACTAAAGGATGATTGTAGAACCACTTCAAAACCTGCAGCAGCCAATACTCTTGTCCTCTTGCTGGGTATATGGGAATGGCAGTTGACCTCTATGCTGGGGGGTTTTCCATTATGTTAAAGTGACAAAACCAGGGGAATGGCTTCATTTTAAACAAAGGTGAGCACAGAGACATTCCCATATAAAGGAAGCAATTCTTTGCACCTGTGAATATATTGTGACAGGGCAACTTGCTGCAGTAATACAAATGGTAACTTATTTTACATTCCCAAATGCATTAGGCATGACTAAAGAAATTCCATTTATAAACTTGAACATAATATTTAATAACACAGAATGACTTGCACCCATACCCACGAGGTAAGAAAACCCTGGACTGAGACTCAAATATAAGCAGCATTTAGAAGGTCATTTCCTTATAACCTCACATCCCTAATAGAAAAAAAAAGAATCTCCCAAACCCCAAATATTGCAAGGTAAGTCTTTAAGGTCTGCTCTCACTGATTCATAGTTTGGCCATTACTCAAATATGCAATGTATAATGCTGATGAGTTAAACATCACATCACCCATTTTGATTTATTTCTTTCAATTCTCTGGGAATTTTATTTATGTTTATAACTACAAGGTCAGTGGTGCCAATAGCTTCAATCCAGGGATAGATAATTGAGTGCTTAGACCATTACACAGAATTACAGTTTATTGATTAGAATACTTGGAATAATATGGAATAACTAAGGACAAAACTAATAATGTTACTAAGAAAAATGCCCAGAAGGGATCAGGTTTAGTCCAACCAAGTAATACAGTTTCAGCACTGCTGAAGAGAATACCAGCAGTCTAAAAGGTGAACTCTTACAGTTATTATTTTCTTTAAGTTGGTGCTCTTCTACAGTCAATAAAAATATTAATATTATTTTATTTCTCCCTTCTATCATTTTTATGTACTGAAACAATATTATCTATGCTGTTCTCAAGGCACAGAAGATCAAATCCACCACAGTGTTTCTGTGAACCATAACAAGGCAGTTCACATCTTACAAAACACACTCACAAGCACAGAGCTAGTAAAAGATCAGGAGGTCAAATTTCAGTTAACAATAATTATAAATTATTTGATTTTTTTTTTAAGTTGAACATCTCCTAGCAGAAGATGTTAACCTCTTTATTGTCATGCTCCAAAGCAAGAAAACCACTTTCGTTATTTGCTTTCTAAATTTACAGAGTGTCTGAGCACAAAGAGCACAGGCTGGTGCTGTACCACATATCACTAATTCAAAACATTTAATCCTGTCTTCCACACGTCAGCCAAAGCAATACAAATGCCAAGAAATTCCTCTTTGATAGCAGAATTGTATACACTGTACATTATATAAGCCTTCTGTCCCCTTCCACTTGAACGTACACTATCAAATCATCCTGGCCATTACTTTCTATTGAGCAGATGGTATTATGAGTTTTTTGATAAAGAACAACAATCTCCCAGGAAGGGTTGCAAAGGGGTCGCTGAGACCGAGATTAACAATTGATTAGCTTTAATGGACCGTGACAGTCATAAACAACAGAGCCCCACACAAAGATTGGATTGTCCCGTTAATGCTGCTGACACAAATGGCTTTTAACTGGCTTCCTGAAAGTGTTAATATCACCAGAGCCCGCAAATGAAGGACTTTGTCAAAGAGAGAACTGTCCTGCAGTGAAGAAGCATTTACTGCAGCCCTTAAAAGATATTCCATAAAGTGTGTTTCTGATTTATTCAGACAATGGTTCCTATTTCTCCAAGGCTTAAAGTTCAACAAAATGAAACGCAGCACACCTCTGCAAGGCTGGAGTATAATAGAACTCTAAAGCATTTGAATAGAGAACTCAGTGCTCCTCGAATATACAGCAATAATGTGAATGATCATTTTCAGTGGGCTCATTTTATCCTTACTCCAGCCTGGGCTGACAGATCTCAGCATCACAGCCTTCTAAACTCAATTTTTTAATGCTTGGTTCTGATAAGGTGACTCTATTTTTTCTTCCTTTCTGCACAGAAATCAGTAATTTGCATCATATTTTCATTAAAATGATGTGGTTTGTGATTACTGGAAATAACCATGGTAAAATCTGAAAACAAAACTTAAAAGATCAGTTTCTTTCTTAGATACGTGTATGGGAAAATGTCTGTGGAAAAAGTCTGTTTCCTTTAATTCTTTAAGGCCAAAATTTGAATAGACTTGTGGCAAATATTCACAGAAGGTTTTAAAATTAAAACTAGGGAGAGGCAAAGACAAAACTCCACCTAAGATGTCATTCAAGAAACCATGGATCTAGGAATTCAATTAAAGGTAAGGAGGTATTTACTCGCCTAAGCATTAAGACTTTCTGTTAAACTTTTAATGTCAGGTTAAATGACTCTGTTTCTAAAATCAACTCCTTTTTTTTTTTAATTATGTGTCTTATTCAGGAAAGGGCTTTTGTTTTAACCATTTTTAGCTGTGAGCTGCCACGGTGCTGCTCCCTCCCGTGTTATTCCTAAAGGGAGCACACAGCAGTGGTGCAGCTCTAAGGGCTCCTAGGAAAGAGAAAATCCAGCGCCTGCTCCAGATCCCAGCACAAACCACTGGCACAAACCAAGGTCAAGCTACTCCCATCCCTGTGGGTCCCACCCATCTCACACTGGGCTCTCTGCAGAGCAGCTCCTCACCAGCGCGTGCAGCGACACGACACGGGGCTCATTGCTGGGTTTAAAAACGTCATCCCCACAGATATGCAAGGAATTCAAATGAAATCTCTGAAAGAGTAAAGCCACCTGCTTGGTGTCCCAACACACCAGCACTAAGTACATAACCTGTCAAAATACTGAGCCAGCCTTCATTAATTCTATTTTCTGTAATCAGCATCCTTCTATTACTCACATCCTTGGCTTTCTACAGCAGCTCTTCAAGCAAGCTATTGTATAAACCATTAGTTATACTCTGATGATAAACATTCAAGCAAGTAATTATTTCCTACCTGTAAGTCAGCATCAAATTCATGTTTCAGGTAGGCGTCCTCTGCAGCTTCAACAAGACGCTGAAAAAAAAAAAGTGTGTTTTTCAAACAATGGGAAACAACTTTACAACTCAGTATAAAAACAGAAAAACAGATTGTTTAAGCTTTTTGTGCAATTCATCTGCTCTCATACTTCACTGAATAGAAATAAATTATTCAGGTTTTTAAAAAGAAAAGAGCAAGTTTTTTAAACCCTCAGTACCCACTAATGGTGGTAAAAAACTCTAAAAACAGCTCACCTATTAATAAATACAGAAATAAAAAAGTCTTTTTTCACCAGGGCTCAGCTTTCTGTATCTCCCAGTCTGAAATTATTTTTGAGAGAACAAAAACAAACTTGATTTCACATGGACTTTATTTTGCACGTAGGAGCCCTTTTAAAATCTTCCATAACAGTAAATAGGAGGAATTCCCCAATAATGCACTTGATTTCAAGAAACTGACAAAAAAGTGAATTTCTAAATTACACATCAACTATAAATGATACGAAAAAGACTAGGCTTTTTTACTGAGCAGACTGAAATACTACCTTAGTGTGGTACATTATCACAAGATTTTTCTGCAATTACAGAAGTAACATTTACTGAATGGCAGTAATTCAGTAGGATTTTTGCCCTCTTAACAATATCCAGAACTCCTTGTAGTAGTTATTTTTCCTCACCATTGTCATCTGACAGGAAAAAAACATGCTTGCACCAAAACACAGCTACTTGAACCATTTAATTCATAAAGAGGTTTGCTGCAGAGATTCTTTTGACATTATACTCTTTCTAAGGTTTTACTCAGCATTCTTTATACTTCAGAGTATTTTAACCATAGAAAAAACTCCTTCTAGTTTTCATTTAATCTACCTGAACATTCATATATGTACAAGCCAAAATCAAACAAAGAATACTCTCTGTCTTTTATTTTCTTTGCTCTATCAGACACTGGTACACATGGATGTTTTCACATATTTTACATCACAAAGCCAGGTCCAGACTCTCATTAACAATACGCAGAGCGGGCAGCCATGCACACATTTTTTTCTCCCTTTTCATAACAGTTTGCACATTTATCAAGTCTTTGGATATAAATCAAAATGAAATCAGAATTCATATTGATTGCTATACAGTTTGAGCTATAATGGAAACTGAACCAAGAAAAATATTTCTGGTTGCCAATGCAGAACAAATGGTTGAGCAGAACGCTGACAGTTTGAGCAGAGCCCCGGTGGCTGCAGGGAGGGTTTGTGCTCCTCGGGTCTGCAGAGCAGCAAAAAGTCCCAGCCTTGCTCTGCTGCTCCATCCCATATCCCCCTGCTCCATCCCACCCCAGCTGCTCCATCCCATATCCCCCTGCTCCATCCCACCCCCAGCTGCTCCATCCCATCTCTCCCTGCTCCATCCCATCCCCAGCTGCTCCATCCCATCTCCCCCTGGCTCCATCCCATCTCCCCCTGCTCCATCCCACCCCCAGCTGCTCCATCCCATATCCCCCTGCTCCATCCCATCCCCAGCTGCTCCATCCCATCTCCCCCTGGCTCCATCCCATCTCCCCCTGCTCCATCCCATATCCCCCGCTGCACCATCCCCATCCCATCTCCCCCCTGCCCCACCCCATCTCCCGCTGCCCCATTCCATATCCCCTCTGTTCCATCCCATCTCCCCCCTGCCCCATCCTATTCCCAGCTGCTCCACCCCATCCTCAGCTGCTCCATCCCATCTCCCACTCACCCACAGCCAGCACCAGCCCCAAAAATCCTGGGGCTTCTGCTGGGCTCCTTCCCTGCACACCCCGTGGGGAGGCTCTCCAGACTTTTCTTTGGTGCAGAATCACAATCTCAAACCTACAGTTAAAAGCTGGAAATACTCCTGATGCCTCAGCTGATACAGAGAAGCAAAGGTCACCTTCCCAGAGCCCTGTGCTGGGAGTAGCTCCCTAACACTTGGCTGGTTCCAGCTTTAAACATCCTGTCCCATGAAAAGCCAGCTGGTCACAGCAAACCCATTTGACCCAAACTGGAACTGAACTGGGTCCAGTTCCGTGGTCCATTTCACTGGGCAAATCAAACCAGAACTGGACTGGCAAAATGTCTGAGCTCACCTTCACACATAGAGGGGTGAAAGAACCCAAAAATAACAATGCATCCCAGCCTGCTGCAGGAGGGGGAGCTGAGGGAAAACATTAAAAATGGAACCGTGAACTTCTGTGTTGCTGTTCCCACTACTCCTACACTATCTGAATAGTACCAAGAACAGACCTTGCAATGTGAAACATTAATAAACCCTCATTTGAGCCACAAATCTTTGTCTTTAGAATATAAAAAGGGAAATAACACAAATTTTCCCCTCTGAGGGGGAAGCCTTATAGCATCTGAAATAAATCCGTACACATTTGAACATTCTCAGAAGCCCATCTTTAATCAGCATGCTAGTGACCTGCTGAAAGGATTCTACAAATACAGCCCTCATTTTTCAAACATGAAAAAGGCCTTTTATGTAAAAATAACTACTCTAATTCAATGCATTACCTTTATTTTCCTTTATTATAAAGGCATAGGTGTATTACTACTCTGTGCTCAGCTGATACAAAAGTTCATGACGGATGAGCTTGAGTGTAAAAAAGTGAAAGGATCAAAAAAATTCTTCATACAGAGAAGAATACATGGAAAAGGAAACAATGTTTTTCTCTTTTGTGCTGAAATACTTACTTAATCATCAAAAGAAAAATTATTATAGTATTTCATGAGATACCAGTGATATTAGATATCAGTACCTAGCGGGCTAGAAAAATAATTCATGGCTTCTTATATAGTTTGTATTGATCCCAATGTGTTTCAATTACATTTTTGCCTCAGTGAAATAAATTTAAACTAGGATTTATCCCCACATATAAGAAATAACTAGAGAAGCATAAGATGGGCAATAGTAGAAACATCTGGTAACAAGAGCAGCTCAGAAATGAAAAGTACTGCATTTTATTTTATTGAATTATTCATTAAGATTTCAGTTGTTACTTTTTTTTTAAATGTACATTTCAGCAACATTCTCTACAAGAAACTCAATGACAAAGAAGTAAAGTGTCTACTGACAGGAATTTTTCCTTGAAGCTGTAGAAGCAAATATGTAAGCACAATTTGTGCTTTGCCCTCACAAAACTAAATTAAAAAATTAAACTTTTGGTACATGAAATGAAAAAAAATACAAGCATGTGCTGCACTTTCTATGTGTCAGTCCTTAATCACAGTTTGCTTTAAGTATCTCAACACCATTATGAAGGAAAGCCAATAATAAGTCCAACTCCACAAAATGACATATTAGAGGATATGCACAAATTATATCGGAATGAAGAAATTGAATGCAAATGTTTCATGGGGTTTTGTTGTTTTGTTGTGTTTTGATGGGGGAGAAATTGGTTGGATTTTTTTTTAAGAGAGGTCCCCAAAGGGATAAAGCACAATAGAAGAAATTCCTTAACACTCTGCAGGCAAAAGCATAAAAACCACATGTAATACTGCAACTTTTTATATGGAGGCAAAAGATGTCTTTTAAAATATTTTAATGACTGAGCAGTTATCTACAAATGAGTCTCAACATTAGCACGATTAACAATTTTAGCTTAATAGTTTATAATGACATTCCTAATAGAAATGCCAATATATTTTCATTTGAGTAACCATGCTCTCAAACCCTTGCTGGAGCAAGTAAATGCTTCCCAAGCTGTGGTTACCCTGCAGGGAATTGTGTTATCTGCATGCACTTAGATGGAATGAATTATGAACACAGAGTGAGAACTGCTACACTAACACCATCCAAGGGTGTTCTTAGAAGAATTTAGCCCTAAATGTGGAAGAGTGTCTGTGTGCACATAAACAGGCAGGTCAAGGCCAGCACACAACCTTTAGATAAAGCAATTATAATGTTCTAAGGCACAGCTCAATTGAGGCTCTCCCAGTAAAGGAACTTATCCTTAGAATTTTCCCAACACACATGAACATGAGAAAGATGAAATGCCTGACCCAGAATATCACAATGCCACACGGATAAAAACAGGGCATGAAGCAGGAGATGAACAAATAACAATCACAAAAACACCTCAAAATGGTCACCAAAACATAAGCTCAATGTTTTGTGTATTCAGTGGTACTGATGTTATAAATAACATAGAAAAAGTTGAGAGGTGAAAAATAAATGTTTGTTACCTCACAGTAATTTTTTAAATAAATCAGTGAGTTATCTCTCAAGTTACCTAACAAGGTAATTTTCTTGACAAATGATATTATAATCTTAGTGAACTGATATTTCCAGATAAATTCTTTCAAGTTAGGTTGCTATAGATAGAGCAAAGAAAAAGGTGAAACAGAATGGATGAGGCACAAGAAGAATCGAACAAAAAGTAAGGGGGAAAAGGAACCGAAATGAAGAGGAGAGGTGGAAATAAAAGCTGCAAATAACAATTTCAAGAAAAAAATCAGACAAACATCCAGAAAGTAGGGTAGTTATTTTAGCTTCTGAGATCTTTTTTCATGTACTTTTTAAGGGTTTCAGTTTACTTCTCAATGATCTTCCTGCATTAGAATCCCATTTTAAAGTTAGATTAAATAAATTCATAAGCATAACCAAATTTGAAACAGCTTCTGAACTTCTGAACTGTGGAGGGTTACTAATCTTTATCCATGAAAGCTGGCAGAAGTTATGCCCTTCTCTCTTTTCAGCTATGAAATCTTAAAAAAAAAAATGTATTTCATTCTTTCCTTTCTGTTTTTCTAAGATGAACCAACTGCAACACATGAAACCAGAAATGCTTCTCAAAATTGTTCTCAAAACTAAACGGCTATAAATCACAAAAAAGCATAGAAAATAGTTCAAAATAAATGTAACTAGTATCTGCTAGGTACTGGTATCATCTACGTCCATAACATAAATAGTTTCTATTCAATAATAACAGTTTAATAACATTTCTTTTAAAAAATGCACTGGCATATCACAGTCATTAAAGAAGTGTAGACAAACCTGTAGGCTGCTCTTATATTCTAGCAT